TGGTGTATGATGAGTGGTGTATGATGAGTGGTGTATGATGAGTGGTGGTTGAACAGCTGTTGAATGTCCGTAACACGGAAGTTTTGCACACTAAACTTCCTTTGATCATGTGAGCTTCAACAAAATATGCGCCACACCACACGTTTGGAATGATTTCGACCCATTCTGAGCACACTCCCATCCACCAAAGTCGCCATTTCAGCAGAGACTTGTCACGAAAACAGAACTTCGATGCAACACCCTGAAACGTAAACCCTAATGGCACGGCCACATCCAACACCCCAAAAACACCACTCTCCAAATGCTAATCCCAATGGAACTGTGCAGAAACCTGCGGATCTCACAAAACGCTGCGCCTGCGCAGTGAAATCATCCTCCACACTTCAACATCTCACATTTCCACACGTTTCCACGCTATTTCATACGAATCTGACACGTCACGTTTCCATCCGAAACCCTCTCCAAAAGCTTCCCCCAATGGCAGCGCCTTAGCGCCCTACCGCGGACGGTTGCGGTCTGTTGCGGTCGGTTGCGAACGGTTGCGGACGGTTGCGAACGCTGAGACAACGCGTCGCGAACAAGGTTCTACCCCCAAACCTCCAGAGTTAAACGAGAACCCTTCGCTACGCATTCGGGGAAAAACGTAAAAAACACGGCCTTGACCCCAAACAACTTGGTCAAAACATCGCAAAGCAAGGACCCGCTTGCAAAACATCTCGACAGGCACACAAACACCAAACAAGGCTTGTCCATCCACAAGTGTACATGTGTATCTGCTTTGCAACTTCAAGTATCTTTTTTGCTAACATGTCAAAATGGCAGCATGCTGTGGCGGTTGCTTGTCAACATGAGAAAAAGCTTTGGAGTCAGGAGCACCAAGGGATTGTATGGGAGACACAGTGGCAGCTAGATTATATACGGCGCCAGTAGGAGCTAAAAGTGCAACACGAGACGGCGGCTCTTGCAGTCTTGAAGGAAAACGTAAAACTTGAAGAGCCGGACACACCACCGGATTCCAGCACAGAACCGCACAAGTGAGGAATATTGGGCCAATTCTGTGAAGATGACAATCTCATGGAGGCCCCACCGAGAGGAAGCTCCTTGGCAGGTTTCAAAACATATCCAAATCACATACTATTGCCCTGCAATTTGCTGCTGTTTCTCTGTTCAGCTGTTCAATCGTTCTCTGTCATGTTCATGTTTTGCTTGGTTGTCAAGACGTTATGTGATTCATTGTCTGCTTGTTTCTGTTGTTCTTTGTCTGCATTTTGGACGGCTACAACCTCACCAAAAGTGAAAATGTAGGACAGTACTTCAACAGTCTATGAGACTTTGGAGAGTCGCCTGCCGTCTTGAGACCTGTTTGGGGCGGGCCTGCCTGGGGCGGGCCTGCCCAAAGAATAGTAGTATCAAAAAGTTGAATAAGATTCAAATGGCTAAATTCGATTGTGTGGTTTGCATGGATGGACACAAAACACTGCCCCAACATGCCAAGCAGTGGAAACACCAAGTATCTGTTGTATAAGTTACAGTATATAGATGGCCTGAGTAAGCGCTGTGCGTGAGACATCCAACCCATACAGGCGCTGTCTTGGGTCCTCTTGGATCAGACCATCAAGCAGAGTCCTGTTCAATGTCAGTCTGAGTTTCCGACCACTCTGTGCCTGAGTACGTGGGATATGAGCCTCGTGTGGGCAAACAAATGGGAGAAGAACGCAAAAGTGTCTGCGTTCAATGATCCATTTGCACAATCTAGTGCCTTTCACAAGCACTGAGACCGACTGAATGAATAAAAAGTACTCTTCTCTTTCCCTGCGTTTTCGAAAAAGCCATGCACCTACCTCGCTGCTTGTTTCTTCCAAATTCCGTCTTCCGGTGTCCGCCTGCAACGTGCTAGGAGAAGTAAAAGATGTATCATAGCCATGCCTAAGAGTGCCCGGGCAGAGCAAGCACACAAGATTGGATCCACAAGCTTTCAGTTTGGGCCATGCTGACTGTGGAGCGCGTTGGACTTAAACTCAAAGCATACCCATCTCTTCCACAATCACTCCAAAGTGGTTATATAGTTGGAAGTTTGTGACATGTTTCTCAGCATTATACGTTCAAGCTGAAACTAAGCCACCAGCACCAGTGCACCCAGAACACCTTGGTGAACACCATCTGGAAAGTTCCGGGTTCAGGGTCATTCGTCATTCCTCCATCAAAAAAACTTTAGATGATGGCAATCAAATGCATCCTGAAACCGATGCATGGCCGCTGTGGCCCTTGAAGTGTTATGCCTTGCAACTTTGCGGACACGGGAGGAAAGGTTTTGTTGGAGCAAGACAAGGCTCCAAGAAAATGCAAACGACAAGGACATAGGCACATTCACCCAGGTACGAAAGAACTAAACAGAACCAAACCAACGGAGAAAGGATCAGAAAGAACTTTCCTAATGGGTGTTGTGATCGCTACAAAGCCTGTGCTGCAGGCGATGAGAACGGTGTGTGTGTGTGTGTCAACCCCTGTACCTAAAGGTTCCACTTCTCGTTTTGGTTTCGAACTTCGTTTTCAGCAGGGGGCTCACGGGTCTGTTCCTGGCGTGAGCCAACGAAGCTCCAGGTTCAGACTAGGATATCGAAAGAGGACGCTCTCTCGACGTACCTGCTACTGAAACAGTTGATCAAGCCGTTCCACTTTCTGCCTTTTTGCTTCATGGTGGTTCATGATACTCCCCCCAAACCATTTCCCTCAGCCGCTTTCAGCTGCCGCGCGCTGACCGCTTGCGAGTGTCTTGCAACATGATGTTCAACAATACTGTTTTTGCGGACTTATGCACCTTTCTGTTACCTCACCTTCCTTCTCAGTGTGCGAACTGAGTTAACTGCAAACCAATGTCAGAGTGTGAACCGCTCAGCCGTCCCACTTGGGTGCTGGGTGTGATCCCCGAGACAGGGGCGCCGAAGCCATACCGGAAATCATCCTTCCCATTGATAACTGTATTTTTCTCCACCGACTCACCTGTTTCACTTCCATAACTGAATTTACTGCACTTTGAGCCGCCGGGCTAACACGGCTTTTCCACCTTGATTACTGAATTGTAATTTTCCACTACATGTTCCATTGCATGCACTTAGTTCTTTTCGTACGCAGCCGACCTTTGATTTTCAAGTGTACAGTTGACCAGATTACGCATCACTTTGTCACCACAGGCTCGCTCATGCAGTTGACTCACCTCGACCAGATTACACTTTCACTTTGTCACTACAGGTTCACTCATGCAGTTGACTCACTTTATCCGGACCTTTCATCTCATTTCATACCATTTCATCATTTTTCAAATCTTTTTTTCTGTTTTACATTAGCTGCCGGATCGCTGCACGGGCTGCCGGATCGCTGCGCGGGCTGCAGCTACGCAATACCCATGGCCATATCCATACCTGACACGTCAGCCACCTCCCACAACAGCGCCGACCTTTCCAATCCCACAGACACAGCCACATTTACCGCCTATGGTTCATCACATGCCAGCCACTATGCCACATTTCCCACAGCCAACATGGCCGCCTATGACCCAACTTCCTACGCCACCATCAGCGCTACCACATGCACCACATTTCCACTCTACCATGCCTTTTCCCTACACTTCACCTTCACAGGACTCCATGCCACACTCTTTTCCAGCAACCGCCTCCCCACATCTTACACCAACTCCAGTTCCCCAGCCATCTCCACAACCGATTCCGCAACCTACACAACCACAATGAATGGGGCCCCAACCAAGGAGTTTGGCAACCTTTTTCAGCTTTTCCACCGGTTACGCAGCCACGCCAACTCCAGTTGACCACAGCCTCAACACTTCCAGATCCGTCTCAAGTGACAACGACACCGCAGTCTCCTGCTGCTGCGACCGCTGGCTCACAACCACCCACTTCTACAGCACCTTCGGCGCAGGACAGCCACACAGCCACAGCCACTGACACAACAACTCCAGCTCTCCTCCCTACTGCCAACACACCTCCACCCTCCACTCCTGCAGCCTCCATTCCTTCCAACAACGCCAACGATGCACAACTCCCTGATCCACTACCCGCCAAACCAAGTGCTCCGGCATCACAACCATCACAACCACACCAACACCGAGGCCGCCGAGAACACGGCCGCCGACATCGCCATCGCAGACATCGCAGGCACCATACCCGAGGCAGGCGCACACATCGCCACCAGTCAAGCCAGCAGCACTCCTCCCGCCATCACCGTTCACGTTCCCCTTCAACATCCTACTCCGATCACGCAGCCGCTCCAGGCACCCCATCTCACTTCCCCCAACCAACGATTCAGCACAACAAGACGCATTCAACAATCAATCCCACTCCGACTATCCCAACATCCCAGCTCTTCGCCGACCTGCCAGGCCTTGGCGCCCTTCAACACATTTTCAACAGCTAACACCACAACAACAGCTGGAACAATGGCTTGATTACCACGCAGACCAACTGGACACACCCAACAAACCGCAGCACACCTACATTGCTCAGCTCCTTTTAGACAGTGGCATCGTCTCCGATTACCGACAATTCACCCACATCAAGTGGAACGACGCCCACCAGACCCACGACATTTACCAATACCACTGCATATCCATTCCCAGTCTAGTCCAAAAAGCCACTCGTCGCTTTCCATCTCCGGCCACTCGAGCAACATCCACCTCACCAGAGCTCGCCCACATCAACGCGAGCCACACCGGTCCACTCGGCAATGTCACCAACATCCTTCAACAAGGCCGGTTTCTTCCCAGCACCCTCCACTTTCCCAACAACTCGGGCTTCTTCGCACAAGGAGTCCGCATCACGCAACAACCACAACACGACAACGCAGAACACGCCCGCATCCTCCACAACTCTTGGAACCTGGCCAAAAACACCCACTCAATCCTTGTTACCCTACTTGCGTGGGGCCAAGGCACCAAATTCACCAATGGCGGCGAAGAACACGGCGCCGTTTGCCACGCAAAAGCTCGCAGCTGGGTTATTCACCCAGACAACGCCATTGTCAAAGGCCTTGCGTGGTCTGTCAACGCCACTCCACCAGCCACGTGACCTTCTGCAACAACACCTTTTCACCACTTTAACCATTTCCACCAACCACTTGACCTTCTACAACAACACCTTTCACCATTTTGGCCATTGTCACCAGTTTCACACCACAGCGCATACCACTCGCTCGGCGACAAAAGATCGAGCGCGGACAGCACCTTTGCTTCGTTTTGAATTCGAGTCATACACGCAGACGGTGACTGTTGTCGCACCACATGAATTTTGAACACGTTGATCTCCTGAGACGGTGCTACCTAAGAAACCTTTTCATGAGGCTTGCATGGTGAGTTGCTAACTTTGCTTGTTTTGCGCAGGCCTTTTCGAAGGCACAATCGTTGATTTTCCGCAAAATTCACGCTCGGTAATTCACTTGCACGGCTCAGACGATCCTTCATGCTGCCCAGCTGCTGCACCTCTCCGCCGCGCCGCTTCGCTGCTGACAGAGACCGTCACTACCCACAATATGATGAACAACAGTCCTCACCAAGCCAACCTGCTACGCCGCACAGCCATTGCTCTTACACAACTCCATCGACTTCTTCAACAAGCAACGGACATTCTAGCTGACCTCCACAACCTGTTCCTGCACCATACTGGACAGGTCGACCAGCATTTCCAACGCTCTTTTCCACCTCTTCCACCACCTCCTTCCTTTACCATTCCACTGCCCTCACCCACATCTTCTTGCGATTCAGCACCAGCACCCGCACATCAGCACTCTCCAACTCCACGCAAACCAGCAGCATCCCTTGATTCCTCCTCCCCTTCTCCCTCACCACAGCGACCACAACCCAAGAAGCGACGCCAACCCGCACCACCATTGAACTCCCACGCTGATTGGGACGCCTGGGGTGGTGAAGCTGATTGTCGCCTCTTGGACTCAGTGGAACAATGCAAAGCCCGCTGGGAGGAACTTCAAGACTTACAACGACTCCAAGACATGGACAACTGCCTCTCACCACCTCCCACCACCTCACCAGATCATTCACTCCTTTTCTTAGTCTCTTTCACTTGGCACTTTTTACCTCTCTGCATCATTTCTACCGATGCATCTTCTCGTGACCTTTGACCTTTGTCACCGCAGCCATTTTTCATTGAACACAGAACTTTTGGTGTTTCATCCGCCAATCTACGCCGCCAAATCATGGCCTCCGATGATGCTGCTGCGGCCAACGATACTGAATACGACCCATCCTTCCGCACTCACAGTACGTTCCAAACTTTGCGCTCCACCTCTCCACCTGGCTCACAGTACACACCAGCTGCAGCTGCTGCGCGACAAGCCCACCGACGCAGCCTTCTCCACCTTTCCTTCCACACAATGCACCTATTCACCTCGCACCTTCTATCACACATCAACCTGAGTTGCTCCTCCTCAGCTGGATGTTTGACAACCTTTTCATATTGGTTGCCCAGATTATGGATCACCCACTGGCATCCTCCATTCCACATCCAAGCAGGTTTGTCGACGACAACGCCTACCAACTTTTCTGTTCCAGCGAGGCCTCCTGGATCTGAGCCGCGCCACCCTGCGCCTGATGCGCGCTCGACGCCTGCTTCAATTCCTACCAGGCCCTCCGGGTCAGTCTGGCCAATACCGACTAGATCCCACAGCTCATTTCCCACCGCGCACTACAGACTTCCTCGCCACTTGCCCTCTTACTCCTCCACCCTCTCCGACATCACCCTCCCCACATCCTCGTTTCTCCTCTCCTTCTCCTCACACAACAACGACAACAGCCAGGGATCGGTCACACACGCAGCCGCATGCTGATGATGTGCAGCCGACAGACATCGACATTACCCAACCGGCAGCTGCTGACGACCTCCACTTGAGCAACCCCGAGACTGATTGGTCTCTATGGTCATGTTTCACCAACTTCGGCTCGGCGCGCAACAGAGAAAACAGCCTCTACCACCTTTCATGCTACACACCACCGATGTCCTTGCGCTTTCTCCGAGTTTCTGCAGCCATGGGTTTTGTATATATACCTTAGTGTTTTTCAGCAGCTCCAGTGCCTCAGGCTGATTTAGACAGAACATCTGGACCAGCCTGCACCACACGGTTGC